GCTCCAGTAAGGACGTGGTACGTGTTCTCTAACCGGCGGTTTGCCGCCAAATGGCACTGTAGGATAAACGGTTATGACCCGGGGCCCTCTGAACCGAGTGGTTTTGCCGCCAAATGGCACCACGAAATACCGGTTATGGCCAGCGCCGATACGCTCCTTATTGGCATCAAATCCTTGAGATATAAATCAATAGGATATAATTGATAGGGCACAAAGCCCTCTATAAGCTAAGGTGGATTCAAATTTGTCCCCTTAGGCAAATACCCACCCCAGGTCTACAAGGTACCCTTGGACGAAGCAACCCATGGCTGCCGACAAGGATCCTTCTGTCAGGTTGGGTCGACTACCTCCTCTGACTAAGTAGACCAGGGACCACGATGGCCCGGGACGACGGAACCATGAGATCTTGATCGGGCCCATCATCCATTCCCCCACCATCCGCTTTAAGTGAAAGATGGTGAAATCTCATTCTAAATATCAAACTCTTCCCAAATTCCCAAACTCTTCAAACTTTCAATCTCAAACCCATTGCTGCTACTATATGCCAGATACACGTATTTCTATACATATCTGATTGACGACTAGCCTTAATCGAAAGTTCTCTCTCGTGATCGGGAGGGATAGTTAACTATAGGGGCTTGCGCCTATAGGAAACCAGAACTCAGATCATAAAGTCCTCGTAAATGAGGGCGAAATCTCTGGGTAGTGTCTTATCTACAAACCCATCTGCCTTCCAAAATTTACCTCGGAACTTATTCAGTTAAAACTCCCTCGCCGAAATAAAAAAGAAATCGCGCGGCGGGGAGGCCGGGGCCGAATTTTTGGATCCCACAATAGATTATGCCATATCATATAATTTGTGCATGTCTTATGTCATATTACGTTTTATTATATAAAATTTTTCATTTACATATATCATATCATAATTATGCAAGCCAGGACATCTGACTCATGTGGTGTTTTTCTTGTATGAGTCATATCATGTCCTATAGGCCAAACCTACAATATTCTATCATATCAATTATCAATATTATCAATTATAAGTCAAGTGGCTTCATGTAGGAGTCATCACTCTCCATCATTCATATAATATAGTCAAGTTTTCTTAATGCCTCCCATTTCATTAAGATTATACCAAAAACTTTATTTAAATGAAAGTCCGTCGGCCCACCCTCCTGTATAGGGTAACATGTCTTTTGCTAATTTGAATCAATCAAATCTCTAGCCAACCTTTCTTGCAGATACACACATGTCATATCATATATTTATTATTTGTAATAGATGCAAATCATGTATCATGTATATATCCAATGCAATTAGCATGTAGATCATTTTAGTATTTTGAATTGGAGTAGGTATATTATGTATACCTATTAGTATGCATGACTTATCAATGTACTTATCTTTGAATGCATGTCATGTCAGATGGATTGTATTAGATGCATGCCATATCAGACCTAATGAGATCGATGTAATAATTCTAAATTATTTCTAGCAAGCCTTTATTTTATTATTTTAGGTAAAATGTCATATATGTAAAATTAATCGGTGAAATTTCATTATGATCATATCAAAATGTTATGAATAAATGTATCTACAATATATCAAAAGTTACATGGTGAGGGTTTGATATATCGAAAGATAATGCATTTTTATTAAATTTAAGTGAGAAAAACTTAGAAATCAAAATCATTGAAAAAAAAGGTATGATTAAGATCATCTACTATGATTAGAACAACTTTACTAACTGGGAGAATAGATGAAAATGCCTTGAAGCCAACTTTCTCTCTCCTCCTCCCTCTCCCTACTCTCCTCTCCTTCCCGGGCCCTTGCTAAGGCATGCGAAGAATGGGTCGGGGGAATGGGTTTGGTGCTAAATAGAAATTGTTGATTTAAATATTTAAAAACAACAATTTCAGTGACCTTTTACCACAATGCCGCAACGCTTGCCCAAACATTAGTAGGCTAGAGAAGCCAGCACCGCAACGCCCAGTTCTCCAGCTCCGCTACACTTACCAACCTAGAACCTTCCAAGCAAAGAGATAAGCACTGTTGCGCTTGCCATATCAGCACTATAATGCTCTTATACATGATTTTTTGAAATGCAAGAATTTCAATATGATTATATTGGATCATTAACGGGTCATTAGCAAATCATTATCTTAATGCAAACGAGGGTTATTACAATATGAGCTCATGAGCACTTTAGGAGTCCAAAAGAGTTGATGTATCCTATGAGTCATAGGATGCAACTCTAAGTGTAGTTATTATACTTTCATCATCTGTGTACTGCAATATGAGGAAGCAGAAAAAAGACTGACATTTTGGCAATTGGTTAGGTTACAAAACAAAGAATGCACATGTTGAAGTGAAGACTATCAGAGATGATTAGGCGCATTTATCTCATATTGCATGATGTTAGTGCTAGGTCATACCATTTCTATATTCAAAGTGAGGAGTGATATAGGACCCCTCAGTGTAACCAACTACTCCAACAACACAAATCGTTAGAGAATGCACATTTATATCCAATGATCCAGTATTGCAAGATCCAAGGTATGCCATAACGTTTATGACTCATGATGCCTAGCCTGGTCAAATATAGGTCCATGTTTTAATCTTATCATTGCCCCCAAGATATATGACCGTTATCCCTTCATCTTGAATGCCTGTGTCATTCCTCTCACATCTACCCGCTTGAGGCCTAATTGTGCCATTGGGGATTCAAACCATGGCTTGTGCTTTATTTTTTCTTTCAACTAATCAGACGCAGAATCTTGCTTCATTCTTGAAGACATTCCGACATTCCTTCCTTTACTTGGCATGTTCACTTTGTTATCCAGGATGATTATCGGCTAGTGGGAGAGTGTCTCTCTGGACAAATATATGACTCGAGTCCTACAGATTTTACTTCTGAAATTGGATCTCGGTTTGTTCTTCATCCATCTATTCTAAGACTTTCTCATCCTCCAAGGGTGTTGATGTGGATGGCAAAAGGTTTTGCATCTGGTTTGGATGCTCTCTTTATTAACAGATTTGAAGCTGATCGTGCTGAATATTGGCAGACTTTGTATTCCTCAGTGGTAAGGCAACCTTCTATTTTGTTTAGCATTTATAGACTATGGTTCTGTCGTTTGCCTGTAATCTATATTTATCTGCCATGGTCTCAGTGCATGGGTCCTTTCCTGATTCTTTGTTCTGAAGATGATGAGTTGGTTCCGTACAAAATTTCTTGGGGTTTTGCAAAACGTCTACAAGAGCTTGGAGGTGATGTCAGCCTCGTAAAATGGAGCAGCTCTCCTCATGTTGGTGAGTTTTTATTAACTTTCCTACATATTTTTGTCTTAATAGTGTGTTCGATGTCTTGTTCAACCAGAAGTACGTTAGGTAAGTTTCGTAATAGGACTTTGATTATTTTAATACAGTATGAGGGACAGAATGCATGAATGCTCACTGTTCAATGTTCGTTTTGCTTTTGATTATTTCTTTTTTGTCGATTCATAGGATCAAGTATTGTTAGAAATTAAAGGAATGGTGGATGAAGTCTTCTTTGCTTTCATAAGCCACGGTTTTTTCAAGAGATTTAAAAAAAAAAAAACCAATAAATGAAATGTGTATAGCATGAAGGTATTAAAAGAAATGTTTGTTGAAAAAGAAGAAATTAAAATGCATCATCAAATATAACTTAATAACAAAGAAGGCAATGCCATTCTGATGGAAGAGGAAAACTGCAAAGTCCTTATCTACAACATATTTCTTGAAGTCCAGTCATTTTTGTAGAACGTGTATATATATATATATATATATATATATATATATATATATGCAACAACAATAAGCCTTTATCCCACTATGTGGTGTACATAAATATTTTTTCTCCATTGTGTTCTGTTAAGAGTCAGATTCTCATCTAAATCTAATAATTAATGATCTTTTTTATTTTTTTTTTATTTTAAAGCAAGGTGGGTTAAATCCAACTCAAGGTTATCCACTTATCCCAACCCGTTTATATATATGTATATGCGCGTGCACACATATATATTATCTTTGCTATCCTATTTTGAATTTATCACTGAACTATGAATACAGAAAAATAACTAACCCTAATGCCTCCATTGTTGACCTTTTTTATATCTCATACATGTTCATTAATTATTATAATTTATATCAGGTAGTTGTAAAGAAATTAGTTTCTATTACATGATTTTATGCACTTGTTAGTTGTATTACCTTCTACCTTCTAGAGCTCATTTTATGCTCATCTGTGGATTGTTCGACTATGAATATTTCTCGTATTAGTTGTTGTTAGTGAAGAGTCCTGTAAACTAGTTGATATGCATAGGAAAGAATTATTGTTTCATGGATCTTTGGTTTGATTTCTTGAGAAGATCATGATAAGTATGTTAAACACAAAAAGGATCATGATTACCAAGACCATGATGATCTCCATATCTCTCTAAATTTCAACAAACTTCAATAAATATTAACTTACTCCCTAATATAGGACTAATGACTCTTCAAGTTGTCCCGAAATCGTATCGATGACTCGACATGGGCCATGTATTATATATGGGTTGACCCTGATCTGATCTGAAAGTCATTTCAACTTTATCCGGGATGGAGTCAACTCATTTAAAACCTGACCCGATGATAAACTCATTACTAGGCTTCCCTATAGCATCATCACGTTTGGACCTACACCTTCATGCATGCACATGATCGAGTCCACCACAACCAAGCAAGAGAGTGAAGCGATTTTTTTCCCTCTCTCTCTCCTTTCTTTTTTTCCTCTGTTTCTCTCTCTTCTTTTCAGTTATTTTTTTAAATCGGCCAGCCTTACCCCATGACAGAAGCATTATAAAAAAAATCCACATTCACCCATAAATTTTCTTGTTTTAAATTTTGCAGATCTTGTTTGGTGAAATTTGAGCTCCATCACAATTACCTCATAGAAGTCTTATAAAGTATCAAAAAAGCACATACGAGCGTATGTAAGGGGGGAATTTGGTTGTAGGTGAGGGTGTGGACTTTAAAAGCTTGTGCACCTCCATGTGTTTGTTTGCTTATCTTGTTGCTCCTGCCCACATGTGCATGCATAGAAGCGCACAAGCATACACTGCACCATACTCGTCCTCCCGCAGCCTCTATAATTGGAATGAAACACAAAGCTTGGTGAGTGTTGTTATTTAGTGAAAACATGCAAGAACTAATTTAAACAATCACAGTTGTAGGTATACAGTATAGGTCACAAGAAAAACCGTTAACAAGGCAAAGTAATTTCGTTTAACCACCAATTTTTACAATTGATTGACTAATGGATCAAATTAGAGAGAGTCGCCTTAGATGGTTTGGTCACATTAAATGGAGGCCTTCTGATGACCCGGTTAGGAAAGTTGAGGTTTTAGATTTGACTTATGTTAATAAAGGTAGATGTAGACCTAAAAACACTTGGTTAGAAAATATCAGAAATGATCTTTCTTTATTAGATTCAAATGAGAATTTGACTTTTAACAGGATAATGACGAAAAAGGCTTGATGTTGTTGTTGCTTGACTAATGGAACCAAACTAAAAAGATGTTTAAGGACATCCATGATGTAATTGAGCTAAAATTATTTCATTTTTTCAAGGAAGACTTGCAGTGAATGTTCAAATCCTTTTGGTTCTGGTCTCTTTTGTAGCTCATTACAGATACCATAGAGCTGAATATACAGCTGCTGTGACCGATTTGCTTGCCAAGGCATCTCTTAAATTTTCCAGAATGCGGCAACACCATCAAACTTCTTGTAAGAAGGCATCAGATTCGGTGTGCAATTCCCACGTTGCAGCTGTTAGCTCCTGTGAGAGCCTCAAAAGGTACGCTGCTCCCATCAGCGCAAGTGACCATTTCTTACTACCAAGCTCAATGGAGTTTGATGAAACCAGAGATGGAGGGTCATTGATTGATGTGTATAAGGGAGAGCTTTTCCAGCTTCCAAGCATCAAAACCCATGGGGTACTTAGCCAGATTCTTTTTGATGTATGTGTCCCAAAGAACATTGAAGATTGGGACATAAAACCAGTCTCATCCTTGATCAAGAACCATGTTTTTTCTACTGCGATGCATGGACCTTTCAACCCAGTTAAATGCATCAAACGTTCCAAGTTGTAGAATTTTCATATAAAATATTAATCAGTTAAAGGTCAGTCTTTTGCATTCTCTGATTGGTGTCATGAGCTTTTAGAATTGAAACATCTAACATAACTTCTTAAATGTACGTGTTTGTTTATGCTACCTCGGCAACATTTCATAGAAACACAATCGCTCAAACTTCTACTGTCTTGTAATGGGAAAATTATTAGGTGCGGAGATCGGGCGTAGTGGTATGTCCAGACATCCACTTAAAATTTGACACGTGGAGTGCATTTTGGTTGCACTTTTTTGTGTGTTTTACCTGGGCTTTAGTTGAGCTTTAACTGTTCTTTTGTTGTGCTTTTTTGCTGCACTTTGGCTATGCTTTGGCTGCGCTTTTGGTGCGCAGGACTTAAAGTTCCGCGGACACATTAAATATATAAAATAAAAAATAAATCCAATTGAATATTCGCATGTTCACTCCACATGTCAACATTTTATTAGAGTACGAACGTACTTCTACGTCTGGTGTCCGCACCTAATAATTTCTCCTTGTAATGTTGGGAATAGCTTTCTATAATGTTTCCATATGTACCATAATGCCATGAATAGACTTGAATATCGTCTTTGAATATTGTCTTTTAAGTATTCTTTCTATAATGTTTCCCTAGCCTGCGACACATACCTGAATGATGGACTAATATGAAGATCGTATATCTTCCCCTTTGCATTTGCACTGCTGGAAAAGGAACAATAGTGTATTGAATGCAATGTGAAGTAAAAATAGTGTTTTGGAAATTTTTATATGTTGTTCAGTTAAGTTCACTATAAATATAGGATTTTGTTTATTTATTATGTTTAGTTGAAGGAAATGCAAAGTAAAATAGCAGTGCATCTGAAATAATAGTTGATTAGAGGTAGTTGATGTCAAGAGCAACGGTGGGAAATTGTGGCTGCCGAGTGGTGGTGGTTGACTAACATCACTTTTACCAAGCTGGATATTTGGGATTCGCTTAAAATGGGTGAATTCCACATACACATAAAATGAACTAAAGAGTAATTTTTAAATGTACTCCTAAAAACCATTGAATTTGAAATGTGGTCGTTCAAATCTCCAAATTTCTAAAACCTCTATGCTTACTTTACACTTAGGCTTCGTTTGGGATGGCTTTTTTATTGCTTCTTGAAATAGCTTTTTAGTAAAAAGCTGCTTCAAGAAGCAGTAAAAAAGCTGTCCCAAATGAAGGCTTAGAATGTAGCCCAAACAAACAACCCTAAAAATCAGTTCAATGTATTTTGAATTCACATAATTTGGGTGAGTTTCAAATACATTGCTTGTGTTTAGTGCGATTAGCCATATATGTTGCCTCCCACTATTGCCCGTTACCACTGTTGTTGGTGGACCCTTGATGTTGGCTGTTGCCAACCATCACCAATTCCTTGTAGAGCAGGCAGATTCCTATCACTAGTGTTGGGGATGAGGAAGAGTAAATCACACAACGAAATAAACGAGAAAGTGAAAGCAACGGCAATAAAATGATACTAGGATTTAATGTGGAGAAACTTGAAGTCGGGAAAAAATCACGAAACCATACCACACCACACCAAAAAATTTATAATGAAAATTGGAAAAAAAATAAGTATATATCTCTCATCTCTCACTCTCTCACTCTCTCACTCTTTCATTGTTTCTCTTCTTTTGCACCATTATCTCTTACAAAACACATAAGAAAGTCAAGTAAATAGCACAAAGGGACGCCACCCTAAAAAAAACGAGAATTGTAACACCAGTTTGGAGCTATGTAGCGCTCAAACCTCTAATCCCAATTTGTTTGACGACGTTGCGGTGCTCAAACCCGTAGGCTGCAGAGTCAAATCTAGAGCTCTATGGCGCTTCGCTCTGTCATTTTTTCTTGCAAACTTGTAGCATCGGGGCGCTCAAGAACACATTGCTGGGGTGCTTGGGTACGCAGTGTCAAGACGCTTGGGTATGTAGCATCGAGCGCTCAAGTATATTGACTCGAAGAAATTTTTTTCCCTTATGTAAAGCACTCGAACCTAAGCAGGCGGAGGATCCCCACGCCTCCCTAACAACCCAATTGATCATCACAATCAGATTTCACACAGAACTATAAACTAGCATTTTTGTTGTCATCCAGTTTAACACTAAAATTTAGCTTCAAACCAAGCATAAAAAAGTGAAATTCTGCATTTATAATGTATAATGTAATTAACCAAACAATTTTTTTTTTTTGGAAAAAAATAACCAAATAACTCAATAAAATCCAAAAATATTTCAATAAGCTGCATTTATTTTACACTGTTTCTTGTACTTTGCATCCTTTTTTTTCAGCAAAATAGACAGCTGAATAGTGTTCTGAAACATAAAATAAAACAAAATTTTATTTCAACTAATATCATAAACAACAAAGATTAAAATAAAATTTGAAGAAAATTTAAAAAATTAAGCAAAAGGCAAAAAAAAAAAAATAAATAAATAAATAAAAGTTACAAGTGGCAGCTGAATAATACGTCAAAAATCACTCATTCTTGAGAATTTCAGATCTTTTGTATGCAAACAAATTAATAAATGAACAGAGAAGAAAACAAATAATTAATTAAAATAATCCGACATTAACAGATGATTAAAATAATGCAATGAAGCCTTGCTGCAGAAACAAATGCCTCTTTTGCTCGAGACAAGCCACACAGAATGCTCCATCACAATGTTTTTATTTATTTATTTAATATTTAGATCAATTAAGACAAACTCATACACACATTATAGTAATAACCCTATCAAAAAGTCTATGGCACTTGAAACCAAAAACAAGATTCAGAAAGTAAAATTTTTTTTGGCGAATTTGCATAAATATACTAAAATTTTTATATATTTACACATATATGCACTTAAATTTTATATTTATTTATAACACTTAGGTTTTGTTTGGGATGACTTTCTTACTGGTTCTTAAAGTAGCTTTTTAGTAATAAAAAACTGCTTTAAAAATAATAAGAAAATTATCTCAAATGAAGCCTTAATCTCTAAATCATAAATATTAACTTGTTTATAGTTTTGTAATTATGAAAGTAATTCCCCCTATTTTCTTAAGAAAATTTATTTAAGGAAAATCATATCATTAAATATTTTGATAATGATTTCTCAAAGTTAAATTAATAATTTTCTAATTAACATTTTAATTTCGTTTATAGATAATTACATCAAATTTAAACATGCCATATGCAAGAGCATGATCAAATTTGTCGGTATATTATTGATATATTCTCAAAAAAATTACCTTGATCGAGCACGAATCTTGAGGCAAAATCGAGCCGGAAATTTCAAGAATTAAATCCGGGAGCATCTAAACTCTGATTTCATCAAACTTATAGTCAGACTGAGCGTCTCGGAAATACGAACCCAACAACACCAAATTCAACTCAATCCGAGCTCAAATGAGTCCAAATCAAGGACCCGAAGTGCTGTTCGAAAGTTTGTACCACAATTTGAGTCGACAAACAGTCTCCGAACTTAACCAGCTTATAGTTGAATCGAGCGGCTCGATGAGACGAATCCAACGAGCCCAAGATCGCTGAATTCTGACATCATTAAGACCTTCAAATGTCTGATGAACGGTGCACGATCAAAGGATTCAATATCAGCCGTCCATTCGACCACTTCTTATTTGCCCATGATCTCACATCTATTTACAAGCTATGCCACTCCAAGAAATCTATAAATAGATGAGAGGGGATCCAAGCAAGAAGAAGAGAAGAAGGAGAGAAGTAGAGAAGAATAGGAGGGAATAACTCCTTGACCACTACCGGAGTTCTGCCCGACGCCCGAGTGATGCCAGAATTTTGCCGAACGCCTGAGTAACGCCGGAATTTTGCCAAACTTCCAAGTAACACCGAAATTCCACCCAAGTGACTCCATAATTCTATCTGACGCCAAATTCAGCCTGACGCCCAAGTGACGCCGGAACTCTCCTCGACATTGTAACTGACTTTCAACCCTAAAGAGATTCATTGTAATCCGATCGTCCTAAATTTTAAGGACGAGTCAGCTTCTTGTATTTCAAGCAAACACTAGTGGAATTTTTTTAACTGGGCGTGGCCCCGTGGTTTTCCCCCTTTTAGGCTTTTCCACGTAAAAACCTTGATGTTTCTTTTTCTGTTCTGTTTGTGTCCTGGATATCCGTACAATACTAAGACGAAAATTTTTTAACTTTATCGACGAGTATATTCTAGCCCGCAACAATTATAATATTAACGGAAAATTAGTCTCTATATTAGCTGCCCAAACATAAGAGAATATTTTTTTTTTTGTGTGGTCATCAATCAGATAAAAATAGTTAATTGCATAAATATTAAATTGTATATACTGAGTCTACTAACAGATAAAAATTAATAATTATGATGCATGCAATATGAGTCAAGCCATGCTTAATTATTATTAAAGGAAGTTTGTGCATTAAATCCATCGATGGTTAGGCATGCTTACCATTTGGCTAGTTTTTTGCATGAATAATGATATGAACAAAAATAATAATTGAAATAAAAAAATATTTTTAAAAAATTGAATAATATTTTGATTTAGTTTAAGTGGTTGTTTGATTTGACGTGAAAGAGGTGTAAAGTATTTCAAATGCAAGGATTTTGAAAATATTATTTTTGATTTGAAGTAAGATAAATGCAGAGTATAATTTTGATGTATTTGAAAACTATTAGATTTGAGCTATTTCTAAATATATCGTAACTTCTTTACAATGCCACTGGCTACCGGTAACGGCCGCTGCCGCCATTGTTGGCCACAGCCACCCTCGCCATAGCTATAATTGACACCGTCGCTACCCATCACGATCACCTTTGGCCCCTACTTGTAGCTCGCATTTCGGTGGTCATGGATATAAAAATAAATAAAAAAAATACAATTTTAATTTCACTTGTAGATTTAAAAATAAAATCAAATTCTTTCTTATTTATTTTAAATTGATTTGACTTATGTTTAATGTGAATATTTTGTTTTTACTTTTAGATAGTTTATAGAGACCTCATCAACTAACTGGCCCTTCAACTTTTATTTATTTTTTATTTTTTTTAATAAAATTAACTAATATATTTCATTTTGAAATTATACTTATATGGACTGGGAATGAGCCTAGCTCGCCTTAGTAGATTTCGACTTCTTTTAGGATAACTTTCTTACTGTTTTCTAAAGTAACTTTTTAGTATGAATTTTTTTGTACTAAAAAGTTGCTTTAGAAAGAAATATAAAAGCTATCTCAAACAAAACCTTAAGCTAATCTAATGGTATAAAAATTGGACGGTTCTCCTGACTAGATTCCGCACATAATAATCTTTCAAAACCAGTTATATTATGTACATTGAACCACAAGGACAAGTAAAATCAAACTTAAAAGAAAAACAAAAGATGAATGGTTTGGATTCAAAAAGCCACAAAGAGCTCCCATTGGAAATTGAGGTAATCATCCAAGATCAGAGAGATTATTCTGTTCGGATACTAGACACAACTTATCATCCAGAGGCGAATCAGATGCACTCACGTCATCCAGTATCGAGCAGTACTGAACTCGGTACCAACCCGCGGTACCGAGTAGGGGGTGACGTGGCGCATTTTCATTGGGCTCTGGACAGCATTCGACATCCCACAGAATAATTCATCCAAGATTAGATCAACCCGGTTGCCGGGCAAAATAGCCATCCAATGGTAAATAAGTATTTCATTCGAAAACAGTAGATCCAGCAAGCAAGATCAGAGCAAAAACATAGCAGATCAAGAGAAAGGAACCATGGTTGCCAATATAGAACAACTGCCATCCAGCGTTGAGGTGAGAGCATAATAGCCTCATCACCGTCCAGTAAAGACCAAAAACAAGTAAGAACCAATTTCAGCACATGAGTTACATAAAATACAAGAGTTATGCACCATAATATTCCTTATAGTTAGAGCATCCACAGTTTTAATCCCATCCATAAAAACAAGCCAAGAGTGAATGGAAAACCGAAGAGAATATTTTTTGTGCCATATATGCATGTGAATGCCACTCCACCATTTCAAGATTGTAGAAGCTTAAAGCCCATAAGTGCTTAAAAGAAGGCTTAGAGACGAGCTATTATTCTGTGCGGACACCGGACGGGAAACCGTTCGGTTAAGCACTTGATAGCGAGCGATATATTTTTAGAATGATGCGGCATATTTTTATTGGTATCCGGACGTCCTCCGGACTTCGCACAGAATAATACCCATCCATAAAATGACAATATCTATAATTGATCTAATAGAAATGGAGGAGAGAAGAAGGGAGGGAAGCAGGGAGATTCCAGGAGCCGTTTGAGGTGATATTCGACACAGTGAGTCTTTTAAATGGAGCAATCACAGTGTTAAGAATCCTCTCATGGGATTCAATAGAGGCCCCATTCAACTAAGAAATTTTTTTTATAGAGAATGTGTATATTTCTATATTCAACCAAAAAGTTCCAAAAAGGTGCAAGTTGCTATTATGAGTCATCTTAAAAGAAAAATGATTAGAAATATTCTTATCCTTATATATATTTTGGGACATTTAGGCCAATCAAGATAAATTCATACGCACACATCACATACACAAGATTCAAATCCTAAACCTTTTTATTGATAGCCAAACTGTGAAACCTCTTAAGTAAAAAGAAACTAAATTCTTAAATATCGAGGTGCCTTTTGATGCAATGGTTGAAATTTCATTAAGAAGCTCTAGAAATCTTAGGATGGGTGACCTCCTGGGATGTTACATCAACACGACAAAATCGAGAGGCCCAAGGGCCAAAACGAACAATATCTCGATAGTTTAGAATTTGGGCTGTTACAAATGGTATCAGAGCAATTCACCATCTGAAAGATGGGAACTAATTGCCATATAAGACAATGTGCTATGCAATGGGAACTATATCTTGAACCCAATATGGGACAAAGTGCTACGTGACATGAATCACCACTTGAATTTGTAGGAGTCACCTCTACAATCCTATCTGCTATGTGGATTATTCTGAGATAAAGATGCTGACGTGGATGCCAGCTACTTAAGTGAGAGGATTGTGAAACTCTTTAAGTAAAAAAAATAAATTAAACTCTTAAACATTGACGCCTTTTGATGTGATGGTTATAATTTTATTAAAAAACTTCACAATCCCGGAAAAATTTTGAGATGGGTGACCTTCTAAGAAATTACACGAACATGATAAAATTGTGAGGCCCTCGAACTAAAATAGATAATATCTGAATAATTAAAAATTTGAATGTTTACACAGCTCTCAAACAACTCACGAAGATGAGCTGAGTTTTATTGCTATATTTAATATTTGATGAACTTATAAATATGGAAGGAATCCAAGGACATTTTAATATTTTATCAGTTAAATTAGCTCATGCGCTCCCCTCCGCTTCTCTTATTGTTTCAGTCTCCGTCTTCGGAATCTCCACAATTGCATGCCGGCATTGAATCCGAGTCAGCGTGGCTGCTGAAGGATTCCTTATGATTTCCGTTTCGCATACAAAATGACTTCGGCTCCGAGCCTCCCAACGAGGCAATCCAGATCACTTGGCTTCTGCGATTGATCGATCTGGCTGTCTGAGGACAGACACGGGTAAGGTTTCGGCGATGTCTTCGATGGTGGGAACCGGTGCTGGCCAAGCCGGAAGCGCTGAAGGTGATTGGATGATGCCGCCACTCTCGGTGCTCCTCAAGCGGGAGCTGACTAGCGAGAAGATCGGTAAGCCCGATATCCTTCATGGTCTGGCCAGCCGGAGCAAGAAGGGCGAGGACTTAACTTTTCTCAAGACCGAGTGCCAGCGGGTTCCCGGAAATGGCGCCACCACCTTCTCCGTCTTCGCGGTACCGGCCAAATCTCCTCTCACAGTCTCACTCTCACTCTCATTTTTCGATTATTTATACTGAATTTTTGGATAATAATTAGAACATATGAGCTGACGTTTTGACCAAAAACCAGTTAAGCTCTTAAGAGAAATGAGAGGGAAATATATGTTGCTGTAATAATCAGCGATGATGAATTTCATAGATTCATTTGGGAATGTATGGTGCAGACCCTAGGTATTGACTGTTGACCGTGTTGATGGTTAGTTTGGGTTGCTGGTTTTACTTCTTCGCGTGTCTTTATCCATGGTGTGTGAACAAGGGTTTTTGTTATGTAGCATTACTAGTGAGGAAGTTACCGTCATTGATGTTGACTGATAACCAGCGAACGCGCTACGTAGAATTTAGGTGATTAGATCGGTTTGTATGTTGATAGCTGGATTGATGGTGTTTATCTAATGCAAAAGGTTTAATTAAGATGCTTCTAAAATTAAGTTTTTTCTTAAGCTTTGAGTCGGAAGTGGTTTAATGCCTTTTTTATTAATTTCGATTCTGCTTTTGCTTGAATGCCTCTTGGGCATCCTTTTTGTCTTCTGCTATTCAATCTGATCTATTTTACATGATAGATGGTAGCTGGAGCAGATTGATCAAAAGGTTATCTGCCGATTGCATGCACTCAATTATGGCATCTTGAATGTTTTTTGTAAACACATCCATAACCAATACAAATGGTACAAACTTATTGCTAATCATTCATATAATCATGCTCTATTCGGAATTGGTCTCTCCATGGCTAATAAACTTACCATACCTCAGACTTATTTTTTGATCATATACTTATTAAGATGAATGGAAATTATATAAATATCCTTTCTTTATTTTTTGTATATTTTAACACTGAATGGAAATTAATTCTTATCGTATTGTTATGATTTTCCTCAGCCTATATTTCTTTAATTTGATTTCCCTTTAATTATTAGAATCCTTAACATCTTTATTTTTAAATATTGGTACCAAAATATTTCTTTTTTTTCACCATTTGACCTACCATTCACCCTTATTGCTATAATTTCTCCCTGACACACCCAATTGTGCAATTCTCTATAGAGATTGATCTAGATCTAAAGCTTTAGGTTTGAGTCTTCTTAAGAGCTAACTTACTTTTACTTTGTTGGATCAATCTAATAGTCTAACTCACAATTTTGTTCATAACGCTCTTCTAAAAATATTTCTTCCTTAAATATCTCATTTATTAATTCTTCAAAATAATATTTCCGTCTTTCCTTATTGTCTTTATTTTTAACTAAAATTATATTATCTTTGTTGCGGACTAGAATATACGCGGCGATAGATTTATGATCCTACGTTTTAGCGTTGCACGAATATCCAGCTCACACACAGAGAACACAAGATTTTTACGTGAAAAATCCTGGAAATGAAAATAACGGCGACCACCCTTTCTCACCTTCAAGAATGCATGGAGGAACCTGAGTGGAACTTCGGGTTTGAGTACGACAATCAAGGAAGAGTTAACATCCTTAAATCCCCATTCTTTGACGTAGGCTTTGATTTCGACGACACCGTCGAAGAATATTTGGATCGGATTCTACCAACACTAGTGGATTCAATCGACGACCACTTTTCCGTCTACACGTGGATCATTAAAGGTCGTCCTCTCGTGCTACCTCCACATTCGGCGCCTTCCTCTCCTTCCCTACGGATCTACGGCATTGTCGCCCTCGGAGTGGTTTTCATCACTTGTGTGGTTATTCTTCTTCCAACGAACCTAGAAGTAGTGAATGAGCGTAGCCTCAAGGTGAGACAATCGCTTTGTTAACCGCCGAATTCTAATTGGCTTTTCATTTGCTTTACTATTTATTACTGTCGTTATTTTAGAGAACTTGCTAATTTAGGTGTAAACTCTTGCCTAAGCGTAGTCGAATTCTAAGATCTTTGAGAATGCTTCAATTGTGAACAACATTAAGATTGAAATTTCATTATTTGAACAAGATTTTATTAATTTTTTAAATCTAATTCCTGGTTTCACATCACATGCTCTATTCGGAATTGGTCTCTCCATGGCTAATAAACTTACCATACCTCAGACATATTTTTTGATCATATACTTATTAAGATGAATGGAAATTATATAAAGATCCTTTCTTTATTTTTTGTATATTTTAACACTGAATGGAAATTAATTCTTATCGTATTGCTATGATTTTCCTCAGCCTATATTTCTTTAATTTGATTTCCCTTTAATTATTAGAATCCTTAACATCTTTATTTTTAAATATTGGTGCCAAAATATTTCTTTTTTTCACCATTTGACCTACCATTCACCCTTATTGCTATAATTTCTCCCTGACACACCCAATTATGCAATTCTCAATAGAGATTAATCTAGATCTAAAGCTTTAGGTTTGAGTCTTCTTAAGAGCTAACTTACTTTTACTTTGTTGGATCAATCTAATAGTCTAACTCACAATTTTGTTCATAACGCTCTTCTAAAAATATTTCTTCCTTAAATATCTCATTTATTAATTCTTCAAAATAATATTTCCGTCTTTCCTTATTGTCTTTATTTTTAACTAAAATTATATTATCTTTGTTGCGGACTAGAATATACGCGGCGATGGATATGATCCTACGTCTTAGCATTGCACGAATATCCAGCTCACACATAGAGAACACAAGATTTTTACGTGGAAAATCCTGGAAATGAAAAAAACCATGAGGCCTGACCCTGTTGAAAATGATTCCACTAGAATTTGAGTAGGTTATAGTGGGCTGACTCGCCCATGAGAGTGATCAGATTACAAATATCAACCGTAATGTTGAAGTCAAGGGTAAATGAAAGTCCGACGTCACTTGATGGTCTGGTGGAACTTCGGAGTCACTTGGTGATCTGGCAGAATTCTAGCATCACGTGGAAGTTCGAGCGTCGGTTAGTAGAACACTGGTGTCCGTAGGTTCATCGAAAGAACTCCGGGCATTAGGTGATAGTCCAGCGGAATTTAGGGCGTCAAGCGGTGGTCTGACAGAACTCAGGGCCTCAGACAGCGGTCCAGTGGAACTCTGGTATTAGGTGGTGGTCCGACAGAACTCCGGGCGTCAAGAGGTGGTCTGGTGGAGCTTAAGACGTAAGGTGGTGGTTCGGCGGAGCTCATGGCGTCAAGCGGTGGTTTGGCGGAGCTCAAGACATCAGGTGGTGGTCCGACAGAGCTCAAGGCTTCAAACGGTGGTCAGGCGGAGCTTAGAATGTCAGGTGGTGGTTCGGCGGAGCTCAAGGTCTCAAGTGGTGGTCCGACGGAGCTCAGTGCCTCAAGTTGTGGTCCGACGGAGCTGAGGGCTTCAAGTGGTGGTCCAACGGAACTCAGGGTATCAGGTGGTGATCTGGCGGAACTCCAGGAGTCAGGTGGTGGTCCGGCGGAGCTCAGGGCCTCAAGTGGTGGTCCAACGGAACACCAGGTGGTGGTCGAGGAGGCAAGTAGGCAAGAGAAATCTCCGATCTCTCTCTTTTCTCCTTAGGCTTAGGGGCCCACTTTCAAGAGGAAGGAGGGGTCTATTTATAGATTTCCTAGAGTGCCATGGCCTGTAAATAGGAGGAAGATCAAGGGTAAATGGGGAGTGGTTTGGATGAACGGCCGATATTGAATCCCTTGATCGTGGATCGTTCGCTAGACATTAGTGATGTTGGAATTCTATGATCTCGGGCTCATTGGATTTGTCTCGTCGAGCCGCTCGATTCGACTGTAAGCATGTCGCGTTTGGAAACCGTTTGATAATCCAAATTGTTGTTCGAACCTTCCAACAGCGCATCGGGCCCTTGATTTGGACCCATTTGGGCTAGGATTGAGTCGAATTTGGTGTTGTTGGGTTCGTATTTCCTAGAAGTTCAGTTCGACTATAATTTTGCTGAGATTGGAGTTCGGATGGCCCCAATTTTAATTTTGGAAGTTTACAACTTGATTTTGCCTCGAGATTTGTGCCCAATCAAACAAATTTTTTGATGATGTATCAATCTTCATCTTGAACACATTTAATTTGTTCAAGGTCCTTAGATGTTCTGTTTTTTTCTTAGCTCTTTTATAAATATATATTTCTCCTTCCCTGGTAACTAAATTCCAACTTTTTTTTGCTTGCTGCTTTCATATTGCAAGCCTCAGTTGTTAAAAACAAAATTCTTTTCCTTAATATCCTTATTGTATCTCCTCGTTCAACTGCAAGATTCCTTATGTATGGTGTTTTTTGGGTCTCCCTTAAACTGGTATGGCAACCTTCTTAATGCATTAGTCATCCTATTCTAGATTAACTTTCGTTCATAGGAGTTCAATTTGTCTCTTTACAATCCTTTCAATAATTTCTCATTTATTCCCAGTGAAAGAAATCATTTTGTATAATTTGGTAGCTTTGCTTTGAAAAGTAACTAAGTACTCTTTTGTTTTCTTAAAATGTATTTGTTATTGTAGGATCATATTCAATATAAATTAACTATAGCTTCTCCTCTTTTCATCACAAATATTACAACATTTTATATGTCCATTTAATTCATCACAAATAATTCTTTTGTTTTTCAAGCAATAGGACATTGGACGTGCTCATGGTTTGATTAACAATGCATGATTTTAATCAATGGTTGAACCAACCTTCTTATTTGATTGAGAAGGAGAGATGCTCTGAAGACCTAGCTCACATTGTGTGGATACTTTGGTCCACCTCATCTCATAATTAATTTAACCTCGTACTTCTCAGTAGATCATCCATTCTATGATTCACCATTGTGAGAATGCATAAATGTGGGGTTCTCAATGAAACTCCACTCATCACACTAAAAAATGCCTCATATATATGCATCTATTATTTTGCTTATATTGCATTATAATTTTTTCTCCCTTTTCAATGTAAGATTCTATTAATTTCCATTCCATTTTCTTCTTGAAGCTTACCAGCTTAGAAGCTTACCAAGAGCCACCTCATATTGCGCATTCTGGTTGGTCTCCACGCCCTCTTCAAATCATCTTTTTTGGATTTAGGATGTTACATGCCTACCATGTTTTGCTTGGTTCATCTCTGAATCACCTATTATATTGGTGGAGAGCTCTGATACCAATTGAATGAACCTTACTCACCTTGCAAAATATTGTCCGTTTTGGCCTAACCTATCTCATGGTAGGTTGACCCTATGTTTTTTTTTGTGCTACTTTCTAGAGGTTCACCCATCCTAGGAGTACTCCATCATAAACATATTTAATTGTGGAGTTTCTAACAAAACTCTACCATTATACCAAAAGATATCTCACATATTTTGGATTTATCCCTCATATTCTCAAACTCTGCTATCTTAGAAATCTACCAAGAGCTGCTCTTTATTTGGACTTCTACTCTGGTGATCACTCCTTGCTCCTTTCGGATTTGGGATGTCACAGTTGTGCACATCACATGCTTTGCAAAACAATGATGAAGCATGCACTTCCACCTATTTGACAGTGCTGTATGATTTAAGCCCACGTTTTTTTGCTGATGTGGAACTTTATCACTCCGTTCTGCACCATACTTAATATGATAAGTTATGGCATACCACATAGGGTGAGCATTTGAAAGCCAAACAATACAACTTCAGTACACCAACATCTCTTATTTATCCACAAACTCAGATCCTGCAGTATAGTGATCCTCCTCCAATTATTCTGTGCGGACGTCGAATGCAGCTTAACGTTCGGAGACCAACCAGAATGCACCATCAGTAGTACCGAGCCGGGTACCGAGCGGTATCGAGCCGGGTACCAAGTAGCATCGAGCCCGATACCAAGCAGGGGGTGACGTGGCGATTCTGGTTGGTCTCTGGATGACATTTGGTGTCCACACATAATGATTTCTGGTTTGCTTGAGGCATGGCTGAAAACAAACCGAGGTAGCATGTAAGCTGTGTACTGGCTCTAAATTCTTACCATTTTATAATTCTTGTGCAAAACACATAAAAGAACATTGGCAAAAGAACATCTTTTTTTCCTCTGTCATATGTGGGCTATTAAATCAATGGAAAAAACGTCCCTATTGATTGGCACATTGATAAACTGCTTCCTTATCCTTTTGCAAAGAAATCATATAATATCAGCTATATCAATTGTAATGTGAAATGTATCCGATTTCTACACCGTTTAATTATGCTTAGAATGGAATCAATCTGTATTATTTGCCAATGTTTTACACTCTCAAGTAGCCCAACGTCTCTGCTATCTTATTGCTCTTGGTATAGTCGAGTCTAGTACTTGTTTGACTAAGCTTATACTTTTATGAACAGTGGTTTATAGCAGCTGTTTTATCGGCGTAGTATGGTTGTCCACATTTTTCCAATATATCATAATTTTAGAGGTTTTGATTACATGTGGAGCTGGCCATAAACATTTCATTCACGCAACTTATATGTTGAATTGTAGTATAGAAATGAGTCTAGTTATAGCGTGAAGTAGTTATGTTTAGTTTAGCCCTACAAAAAGTCACTGAATCATAATGAAATGTTGTTTGATTAATTAGCATCTTTTTTCCTTACTGCAAGTACAGGCATGTGTAAGTTACAACAGTGTACTGTAGCATTCATATAACTAATTCTTTCTGACTTTTGCATGATGTAATTCGTACACGTTCCACTGTCAACATTTACAATCATTTTGCATTTGCCTTCTGCAGCTATTTGATGGTCACAATGGATTAGCAGCTGCAATATATGCTAAGGAGAACCTCTTAAACAATATTTTGTGTGCCATTCCTTCAGGTCTTACTAGAGATGAATGGTTAGCAGCTCTACCTCGAGCTTTAGTTGCAGGCTTTGTCAAAACAGATAAAGATTTTCAAGATAAAGGTATGACTATTGGAAATTCAAACCTTTACCAAGCGGTTTCTTGAGTACAAGAATATGCATTAAAGATTTTGTTTACGTTGTGAGTCTTTTTTTTAAGCACGTCTTCGCCTCTTAAAACATGTGTATATTTGAACTATGCTAATACGCTGCCTACAGCATATGGAGATGTCAACTGTTCAATGGATTATGCCTATATGACAAGAATGTTGTTGGGGAAGTAAACCACGATGCGAAACAAACAAGAAAAGAAAATACAGCGAAAACGAAAAAAAAAAAAAAACATCAGGATTTAATGTGGAACAACCCGAAATCAGGAAAAAATCCTGGAGCCACACCATGCCAAGAAATTCACTTTGAAAAATTAGGAGAAATCGTATAAATATCTTCTCTCACTCTCTCCTTATCTCTCTTCACTCACTTACTCCGTTCTCTGCACAAAATGGATAAATAGACACTTAAAACTACCTAAGGGATATAACCCTTCAAGTCAAACATGAAAAATGAGAAGGAAATTGTCCAACTTGACTCGCAATGCCATGACGTTCCACTCTCTATCTCTAGTATGAATGACAAGACCGTGGTTTGGAGCTTCGTAGCGCTTCACTCTTTGTCTATGTCGAACCAGACTATACAATGTCGTAGTGCTCTGGTATACAACGCTACAACGCTCGGGTACGATTGTGCGTAAAACTGTTGAACGGATTTTGCACCTGAACTCAAATAGGGGAGGGCTCCTACAACCCCCCAACGAGTTTGACCAACAAAATTTGTGGTCCGAAGTAACAGTACAACCCAATTGATCAGTACAATTATATTCCACGCAGAACTAACAAATGTCAATATAGTGTTTCTGATAGATGCACTTGTTGATTTGGCCCTAATATGACACTCTTCCATGAGTGGAAATTGTGCTATGTTTAGTTGGGATTAACCGTTATATTTTGTATTGCAAATATAAGAGCTGTCTTCTTGAAGATGGAAGGGACCTAATTTAATACCTCCTTTAAAAAAAAAAAATCTTGTAAGTCCATGCAGAAATACATGAATGACTTATTTTTTTTATTTGATAATAATTAAAACTCCAAGTGATTATCAAAATGCTATTTCTGAAATTATTTTCTTTTACTTTACCAGCTGAACCTTCAGGAACGACAGTTACATTTGTGATTATAGATGGGTGGGCGGTAACAGTAGCATCAGTAGGTGATTCACGCTGTATTCTTGAATCTGCTGATGGTTCACTTTACCTTTTGTCAGCAGATCACAGGCTGGATGAAAATAAAGAGGAGTGAGTTGACTTCTATTTTATAAATTTTGTTTTGGTAAGAGCTTCTACTGAAACCTGTAGTGTATGTTCTTACAGGGTCGAACGTGTTACTGCAAGTGGGGGTGAGGTTGGAAGACTATATCTTGCCTGTGGGGCAGAGGTGTGCATGTATTCTTATGACAGTAAATCTTCATCCTCGATAAAAAAAAAACTAAGTTTTGCATTTACGGTTGTTTATCTTATCACCCGGCAGTTATTAGTCAATGAAAATGTGCTAATTTTTTTTCCTAACCTGTTCTGGGATTGTGTTATATGATTGTGATGATTATGCATTAAAATTTAAGGTTGAATAGTGGTATCTTCTTGGTGGGGTGCTTTTATTGAAATGTCTTGATGAAATGAAAAGCAGTGCGTCCCACTAACAGGAGTGGGGTTTGTGTGTGCCGTTGGGGTTGAAGTTGTATGTTCTTGGTGAGGTGCTTTTATAGAAAATACATTGATGAAATAAAAATAGCCCAACCCACAAACAGGGGTGGGCTATGTATGCGTTTGGGAGCTTGAAGGTGTGGTTAATGTCAAATAAATTCTCAAACTAAAGTTTCTTTAAGAGAGCTCTATGGATTGCCCTAGCTGTGGTGATTAGGTAGACTGAACATTTTTTCTTATGAAATTGGGGGTTTTTCTCGACCAGTTTTTCTATTAAAGAAGGGGAAGAAGTTCATTGATTGTTTGAAGTACAAAACAAAAGCTGAAGTCCCATATCAAACTTTGTTAGGTGATTTGTTTGTAAATTATTAAACAAGCAATATGCTGAACAAGCTGGGAGCGGCCTACTATTATTATTATACTTAGTTAATACCTGAATATAAAAAAAATTACTTTTGCGTCGTTTGTTTAGGTGATAATGGAAGCCGCTTCTTTTTCATGAACACAATTTCACCAATTAATTCTACATATTGCATTTTCTAGTAGGGCAAAAATTAAGATATACAAGTATAAAACTTAAGAGTTTTTGCCAACCAACTTTAATTGTGAGTTTAATGGTAATTGGGTTGAAGGAAGGTGATTATTGTGACCATTTAGGTTAAGCCTGGTAAATTTTGTTTCCAAATCTCTGACTTGGCAAAAATAAAAGCCCCATGACGCTTCCTCTTTCATTTTGTTCTGACTACAAGGGGTAGCGTTGGTTGATTATTAATGGCAAGTATTTAATAGCTGTAATGCCAGCTGCAGGGACTGGAAATATTAGTGGATTACACATGCTGACTTATAAGCCATTTTTCATCATTTTCCTTAAAAGTAGGATCCAGCTCATAGTAGCTTCTGAACCTGTTTTATTATTGACTATCAATTTTATTGCTACTGATCTAATGAAATGTGTTTCCAGATTGGACCTCTCAGGTGTTGGCCTGGTGGCTTGTGTCTCTCAAGGTCGATTGGTGACGTGGATGTTGGTGAATTCATTATTCCTATTCCCCACGTGAAGCAAGTGAAGGTGAGCGACTCATCAGTTTCATCAATTTCATGATTAATTTTTGGATTAATTTTATTATAAGATATTTCAAAATGTATACTTGAGGTATGAAACAAAGAGTTATCTATTGAGTTTCATGTTACAACACAATATTTGAGGAGGCTTTAACAGTAGAATTCCAATAGAATTTTGACAACTATAAAGAGTTTTTGTAATATTCCGTTCTCCGACTTAATAATAGAATTTGGATGCTGCGATACCTTGTAAAGATAGATATAACTTTGCATATCAAATTTTGATAATTCTCTATTTATGAATAAATTTTCTAATACTTTTAATGTTGACAATCTGTCAGGTAGAGTTCATCCACTTGTCATTTCAGCTATAGTTAATCATTGTCTTTCAGCATGTACCTTTATGTTTGATATTGACATGTTCATCTCTGATTGTATGATATTTTTGCAGCTATCAAATGCTGGAGGCCGACTTATCATCTCTAGTGATGGTGTGTGGGATGTTTTGACTTTTGAATCAGCTCTGAATTGTTCTCGTGGACATCCAGCGGATATTGCTGCTAACAAAATTGTTACGGTATTAAATAGTAACCCTTTTCTATTATTTAGGATTATCAAAATGTTCTGTCACATCGTAATACATTTTTTTGTCATTAAGTTGAACAAAAAGTTCTTGTTTCTGCCAATCAAATGGTCACCTTTTGCTTGCAGGAAGCTGTGCTGGTAAAGGGACTTAGGGATGATACAACATGTATAGTGGTTGATTTATTGCCGCCAGAAAATATCTCTCCTTTTGTTTCCCAACCAAAGAAGAAAGGGATGAGGGTCTTAAAGAATATGTTCCACAAAAAGCCATATGATTCACCATCTCACCTTTTTGTAAGAAACTACTTTGGACCGTATGCAGTGGAAGAATTATTTGAAGATGGTTCTGCAGTACTTGCTCAAAGGTACATTCTATATGAAATATATTGATACCAGATCTTTCGCTTGAAGTTGTGTGTAGCTGTGCCATTTACGACCAAAAGCATCAAAACCTATTTTATCTTCATGTTGACCTCTAACCACCGACCGGACCCAATCACGCACGTTCCCACTACCCCACTACTCACGTAACTTCTCCACGATCTCGCAACCACTCATGTACAAACTTCCAGCTTGCTCGTCTCTAATTGGCACGAAGGAATTTCGAAAATCCCAAGCATGCAAACTCTCTTGCTCTCTTAGAACCAAACTTCAGAGCTGAAGCCCCAAGCGCTCCCGATCCTCCTACCGCGCTAACAACGCGACTGTCCATCCGCTCCCAGTCGCACGCTCGGCTAGCCTCCTACAGCACCTCAGCTGCTCAATCCTTCCGGCCCATGTTGCATCAATATAGATACAACGACACGGATACGACACAATACGGATACAACACGATATGGAGATATGACACATCAATTCTTAGTTGTTTTTTAATTTTTTAAATGGCCAGTTAAAGCCATGAATAGATTTGCTTTTCTCAGAAGAGAAGTAAAATTCTTTTGCGAAGATTATAAGTCGATGTTAGGGGAAAACATAGAGTTGTGGTTATTATGCATACTATAGGAGTGTAAAGAAAATTATCAAATTAAAATTTTATTTATGCCATGATGATGGAACTTAAGAGCGAGGGTTATTAATCTTTTTAAAAAAATAGATTTATTATTGTACCTACAGTTAGTGAATACTGTTGGAAGGATAAGGCGTTGTTGACCTCTAAGTGTTAACCCAGCAGGAACAAAAAAAAAAAAATCAAATCAAAATACCTGTAAGCCATCGGGTCCACGAATCCTGCCGAGGTTACGCTGAGTCGGCGCCGCTTGCGTCGCGTCTCCGCAATTCCTGCATGAATCCCGCTCTCGATCGTCGCTCTTCGACGTCTTTAAAGGCGAACCGAGCGGACATCTCTCGGCTGCTCTTCCACACTCGGTTCCACTCGCGATTCCATTCTCCGCTCTCTGCTTCTCCCTTCGCATGCTTCTCGGCTAGACCCCGATCTCCAAGTGCCGAGCTCCTTCCCCCCATCTCCGGCGTCCCTTCCCTATCGGATCGAAGGTTCCGACCTTTTGATCGGAACCAGCGACGGGAGTCGCTCACTGTGACGTTAACTTTCTCCCTTTCACACGACTTCTTCGGCCAAATCCCGAGAGAGAGAGGAAAAGAGAAAGATACCAAGTTCTTACCTCACTCACATCCGAGTTCCTCCCGTCGATCCTCTCCAACCGCTCCTTGGCTGTCCGACTTCACTCGCTCCTTCGACGGCTTCCGTTCCTATCGAATCGGAAGTCTGACATTTTGATCAGAAGCCATACGGGAGCTCGTCCCTCCTCCGCCCCCTTTGCTTGTGCCGATCATTTACACAAGCCGAGAAAGAGAGAGAGAAGGAGAGAGAGGCCGATCCATCCTACTTTGTCCGATCGGAAGCAACGAACTGAGAACTCGTTTGCTGTGTAGGTAACGCTCTCCCATTCGCACTCTTCTTCGGCCAGATGCCGAATTAAAGAGATGAACGAGGGGTTTTAACTCTCTCTCAGATTTGAACAGGATTTGGAATAAATCCTGCTTAAATTCTATTTTAATTTTGCCTTAATTTAGTTTAAATCATGTGCAAATTTTATTCATTAAATATTAATTATAATTATTTACAATTATTTGTTATTAATTATAAATGATTATAAATTAGTTATCATCAAATTATAATTAATTATTATTAAATATAATTAATTGTAATTAATTATGATTAATTGAGTGTTAATCATAATTTATTATAATTATTTATTTTAATATTAATTAATTAGCATTAATGATAATTAAGTGTTATTATTTATGATTAATTTCAATTAATTTTTCATTAATTATAATTAATAAAACATGAATGAAGTAAGAAAATGCTTTCCCCCCACTCTCCTTCCTCGATGTCCGTGTCGGACCGGCAAACCACCTAAGCACGCCTTTCTGTATCAC